GACCTAGCGGTATGATAGAAGACATCCACCAGGATATTGTGATATGATAGAAGACATCCACCAGGACCTTGTGGTATGATAGAAGACAACCACCAGGACCGTGTGGTATGATAGAAGACATCCAACAGGACATTGTGATATGATAAAGGCCATCCACCAGGACCTTGTGGTATGATAGAAGACATCCACCAGGACCTAGCGGTATGATAGAAGACATCCACCAGGACCTAGCGGTATGATAGAAGACATCCACCAGGACCTTGTGGTATGATAGAAGACGTCAACCACGACCTTGTGGTATGATAGAAGACATCCAACAGGACCTCATGGTATGATACAAGACAACCACTTGATCTCTCGGTATGATAGAAGACATTCAACAGGACCTCACGGTATGATAGATGGCATGCACCAGGATCTCTTGGTATGATAGAAGGCATTCAACAGGACCTTACGGTATGATAGAAGGCATCCCCCTGGATCTCTCAATTTGACAGAAGACACCCACCAGGACCTCATTTTATGATTGAAGACATGGACCAGGACCTTGTGGTATGACCCGACCTTCAGGACGTAACGGTAAGGCAGAAGACATCTACCGGGATGCCATTAAACGACATAAAACCTCTACCAGGACCTTGTTTTAGCGGATTGGGCATATCCAAGGCCCCCAATGTAAGGCAGAAGAGATCTACCAGAGGTTGGTTGTAAGGAGGAAGACGTCTGCCGGGACTTATAAGGTAGAGGACATCTAACAGAATCTCGTTTTAAGGCATAAGACAACTATCAGGACCTTGGTGTAAGGCAGAAAACATTTAACAGGACTTCGCAGTATGCCTGAAGACACCATCAAGGAACTTTCTTTTTATTGCTCTGAAACCCATTACATTCAACATATTGCAAATCAAACGTTCAGACAAAACACGAAAGAACATAACATAAAATCAATGTTTCTGAGGCCTTTTGTCAATCGATCTGAGAAAGCACAGACGCAACCCAAACGGTATGCCCACACTACATCTGTACATTTAATGCGCTCCGACATGACTGTGACCTAGTACTTGGGCAACTTCCCGGGTACTCAGATAATCACACTTCAGATCAATAACAATGCTTGACTGACTGTTGCTGGACGATGATGCTGTTTTGTGTCTGCGATAGTTCGCCGCACTGAAAGAAGGAAAGTGATATAAATAGACGAATTTAGAATCACATGGTAACTCTTGGGTGTGTTGGCAGGTCTAGTATACTGGCCCAGTGACTGATCTTCCTGTGCTTTTATACAACATAAGTGATTGAGCTCCCTGTCTAGTATACTGGTCTAGTGATTCAGCTGCCAGTGCTTGTATGCTGGTCTAGTGATTCAGCTGCCAGTGCTTGTATGCTGGTCTAGTGATTCAGCTGCCAGTGCTTGTATGCTGGTCTAGTGATTCAGCTGCCAGTGTTTGTATGCTGCCAGTGATTCAGCTGCCAGTGCTTGTATGCTGGTCTAGTGATTCAGCTGCCAGTGCTTGTATGCTGGTCTAGTGATTCAGCTGCCAGTGCTTGTATGCTGGTCTAGTGATTCAGCTGCCAGTGTTTGTATGCTGGTCTAGTGATTCAGCTACCAGTGTTTGTATGCTGGTCTAGTGATTGAAGTACAAGTGTTTGTATGCTGGTCTAGTGATTGAAGTACAAGTGCTTGTATGCTGGTCTAGTGATTCAGCTGCAATTGCTTGTATGCTGGTCTAGTGATTCAGCTGCCAGTGCTTGTATGCTGGTCTAGTGATTCAACTGCCAGTGCTTGTATGCTGGTCTAGTGATTCAGCTGCCAGTGTTTGTATGCTGGTCTAGTGATTGAAGTACAAGTGCTTGTATGCTGGTCTAGTGATTCAGCTGCCAGTGCTTGTATGCTGGTCTAGTGATTGAGCTGCCAGTGCTTGTATGCTGGTCTAGTGATTCAGCTGCCAGTGTTTGTATGCTGGTCTAGTGATTGAAGTACAAGTGCTTGTATGCTGGTCTAGTGATTCCGCTGCCAGTGCTTGTATGCTGGTCTAGTGATTCAGCTGCCAGTGCTTGTATGCTGGTCTAGTGATTCAGCTACCAGTGTTTGTATGCTGGTCTAGTGATTGAAGTACAAGTGCTTGTATGCTGGTCTAGTGATTCAGCTGCCAGTGCTTGTATGCTGGTCTAGTGATTCAGCTGCCAGTGCTTGTATGCTGGTCTAGTGATTCAGCTGCCAGTGCGTGTATGCTGGTCTAGTGATTCAGCTGCCAGTGCTTGTATGCTGGTCTAGTGATTCAGCTACCAGTGTTTGTATGCTGGTCTAGTGATTCAGCTGCCAGTGCTTGTATGCTGGTCTAGTGATTCAGCTGCAATTGCTTGTATACTGGTCTAGTGATTCAGCTGCCAGTGTTTGTATGCTGGTCTAGTGATTGAGCTGCCAGTGCGTGTATGCTGGTCTAGTGATTGAAGTACAAGTGCTTGTATGCTGGTCTAGTGATTCAGCTGCCAGTGCGTGTATGCTGGTCTAGTGATTCAGCTGCCAGTGTTTGTATGCTGGTCTAGTGATTGAGCTGCCAGTGCGTGTATGCTGGTCTAGTGATTGAAGTACAAGTGCTTGTATGCTGGTCTAGTAATTGAGCTGCCAGTGCGTGTATGCTGGTCTAGTGATTGAGCTACAAGTGCTTGTATACTGGTCTAGTGATTAAGCTTTCGGTGCGTGTGTACCAGTTTAGTATTTGGTCTCCCAGTGTCTGTATAATGATCTAGTGACTGTGCTGCCAGTGTTTAATGGGCCTGTGATTGAGCTTACGGTGTGTGTATAATGGTCCAGTAATGTATCCTGTATCATGATCCAATGGAGCTTCCAGTGCGTGTATCTCGGTCCAGCTCAGGGACATCAAGGACACAAACCATGGTTCTAGTCATGGAACTTTCACTGCCTGTATACTGGACCAGTGAAAGAACTGCCAGAACGTCTTTAACGGTCCAGCAATGGTACTTTCAGTGCGTGTATAAAAGGTCCAATGACTGGGCTTTCAGTGTCTCTTTAATGGTCCAGCGATGGTACTTGTAGTGCGTGCATAATGGTCTAGTGAGGGTACTTTCAGTGCTTGCATAATGGTCTAGTGAAGGTACTTTCAGTGCGTGTATAATGGTCTAGTGAGGGTACTTTTAGTGCTTGCATAATGGTCTAGTGAGGGTACTTCAGTGCGTGCATAATGGTCTAGTGAGGGTACTTTCAGTGCGTGTATAATGGTCTAGTGAAGGTACTTTCAGTGAGTGCATAATGGTCTAGTGAAGGTACTTTCAGTGAGTGCATAATGGTCTAGTGAAGGTACTTGTAGTGCGTGCATAATGGTCTAGTGAAGGTACTTTCAGTGCGTGCATAATGGTCTAGTGAAGGTACTTGTAGTGCGTGCATAATGGTCTAGTGAGGGTACTTTCAGTGCGTGTATATTGATTCTTGGCAACGGTTGCTTCTCTACTGACCTTTCATCTTAGGACAAAGGTCGGGTGGCTTTGCTGACCTTAACTCGCTGCCGGGAATTATAGACAGATTAATTACGTCTCCCGTTATGATGAAGGGCTGCTGATCCTTGTTCAGTCTCAACACTTCATCCTTGTACTTTGTACTTTTAAACGTGAACTAAGGCAAATACAGAAGAGAACTAAAGCAAACACAGCAGAGAACCAAGGCAAATACAGCAGAGAACCAAGGCGAGTACAGCAGAGAACTAAAGCAAACACAGCAGAGAACTATGTCGAGTACAGCAGGGAACTAAGGCAAACACAGCAGAGAACCAAGGCGCGTACAGCAGAGAACTATGTCGAGTACATCAGAGAACTAATGTAAACACAGCAGAGAACTAAGGCAAATACAGCAGAGAACTAAAGCAAATACAGCAGGGAACTAAAGCAAATACAGCAGAGAACTAAAGCAAATACAGCAGGGAACTAAAGCAAATACAGCAGGGAACTAAAGCAAATACAGCAGGGAACTAAAGCAAATACAGCAGAGAACTAAAGCAAATGCAGCAGGGAACTAAAGCAAATACAGCAGAGAACTAAGTCGAGTACAGCAGGGAACTAAAGCAAACAGAGCAGATAACTAAGGCGAGTACAGCAGAGAACCAAGGCGAGTACAGCAGAGAACCAAGGCAAATACAGCAGGGAACTAAAGCAAATACAGCAGAGAACTAAGGCGAGTACAGCACAGAACCAAGGCAAATACAGCAGAGAACTAAGGCGAGTACAGCAGGGAACTAACGCAAATACAACAGAGAACTAAAGCAAATACAGGAGAGAACTAAAGCAAATACAGGAGAGAACTACGGCAAATACAGCAGAGGACTAAGGCGAATACTGAAGAGAACTAAGGCGAGTACAGCAGGGAACTAAGGCGCGTACAGCAGAGAACTAAGGCGAGTACAGCAGAGAACTAAGGCGAGTACGGCAGGGAACTAAGGCGAATACAGCAGATATGTCCAATGCTTTCACCTGTCCCTACTCTGAAATGTTCAAGATTTGCACCTACCAGCTGTATCAGTTGGAAAACGTATTAATAAAAATTGGAACAAGGAATCACCGAGTATCTGTGACCAGTGAAAACTTCTTCTCAATTCCGAGAACCGTAAACATTAGTTTAGGAGGGGCGGACAATGCGCAGTTGTGTTTTGCGTCTATGACATGTTGATAAACGTGTAAATCCTGACCTAAAATGTAGACTTCAGTAGTCACCGTTACCCAAAAATTCACGTCATGAGCCATGAATGACATCAGTTGTTTTCGGGCCACTTTACAAGCAATGAAAACAGCGGGACAACTATTTTTGACACAGTTTGCACGTCGGTTTTTCGATTTATGCCTCAGTGAACCGAAATAAATATTAATTCAATGCTCATTAGTGAGAATTTCAGAAAAAAATATTATCCGTTTGGGTAATATCAACGCACGGTTTGCGTTGTGGTGCAACGACTAAAGGGAGATGACTCTTGGGGGCTGAGTGGTTCACTTACTTTGTCTCACGGTCCCTTCTGTCTAGCCCTGTCTGCAATGCTGAAGCCATAAATGAAGCAAGTCTAGATTGCCTCAGATTCTGAATCTCGCATCTCTCTTGGTCTAATTTTTAATTTAAAAATACTTGTTTGTTTCTATGAAAATGATATACAAAATATTCAGAGACTAAGCGTTAGTCTAATAGAGCCTGTGCTATTAATGATACTTAAAAGAAATTCATAACTGTAAATGCTCGATGGGTGCAACTAGGTATTTAGGAAAACATTTAATCAGATATATAGCTGTTAATGTATATTTATAGTCTACTTCTCACTAACATCCGCCCAAACACTTTCTACAATATCAAAGCTCTAAATGAAGCACATTTACATGACCAAGCTCCCTCGGGCTCCTTTCCAAGGTAAATAGAGTTATTTGTATTTATCAAATATTTTCAGATACTAAACGTTAGTGTGGTTTATTGAATGTACATATCAATGATATTTTCCTAACGAATTTCTACCACGAACTACTAGTATTGCATGTTTTTATTCTCGACATTTTATGGCAGAAACATAGTCGAATCTTCATGTTGCTCGCTGACATTGTTCCCGAACTAATAGGTAAATTGTGTAACCTAAGATGTTGCATTTTATGCTTTTTATATAACACCGGTCGGTCAAAGTGGTCAGCACGGGTTCATCTTAGTCGTCCAAAATTTAGAAACCGAGCACAAGCACTGATATTGTCAACCTTGCCCCAAAGCTATACTGAATGCTAAGCCCATGGATGTATAGTAATTCGATCCTTTAAAGAGGCAAGTCTTCATAAGTGCTCTGTACAAGAACTAAGGATCTAAGGACGCCAGCCTGTTTCAGGGACAGTGTGTTAATTATATTTATATTTTTTAAATTACCATTTAAACTATTAATTATTACCTTAGAGTCTTATGCAAGTCTATGAAATTGCTTTCTTGGGCTTTGTTGAGCCTGGCGGCGAAAAGTATATATTTTCCGGGTGCTTCATTCGAATCAGCATTCCTATCACTTGGCAAATTCAGGGAAGTGTCTGTGACGAGAGTCACGCATCCTTTGGCCAGGAGTAGACCACGGTATTGTGGTCTTGCTGTAAGTGTTTTTATGCTTATTTTTATATGTTTGACATAGATGCACCAAAGTGTCTATACGGTAAAGAGAAGGTGCAGGTTTTTGGAACAACCAGCGATGTACATTTATAACCCATGTCACTTGGTCGAGGGTACAGATAACGTGTAAATCGTCTTTAAAAAGAGGTGAGATGAAATTGGGTTTAACGTCGTGCTTGAGAATATTTCGCTCATATGACGACGTGCATGCGTGTGTATGTGTATGTGCGGCTGCTTGCAAGAGCCCAGACTGAAGCTGGTTTTATAGTGCTAGCCCACTGAGATACCATGCCGCAGTGAAGCTAGAGGTGAGATGAAATTGGGTTTAACGTCGTGCTTGAGAATATTTCGCTCATATGACGACGTGCATGCGTGTGTATGTGTATGTGCGGCTGCTTGCAAGAGCCCAGACTGAAGCTGGTTTTATAGTGCTAGCCCACTGAGATACCATGCCGCAGTGAAGCATGAATACCCTACTCAGACACATTATACTGACTCCGAGCCGACCAGTCCTTGTTGTACCCATTAATGCCGAGCGCCAGGCAGGGACCAACAAGTACCATATTTTAACGTCTTTTGGTATGACGCGGTCGGGGATCGAACCCGCGACCTTCCGCTCTCCGGGCGGACGCTCTAACCACTACACCACGGAGGCGGCCGTTTTTTAAAAAGATGGGCGGAGTGCACCCCACACTGGAACCGCCCGTGGTAAGTATCACCTAAATTTTACTTTGTGGTCGGAATCATGTACATGTATATGTTGCGAGGACTTGCCTTCAGTCAGACGATTTCGAAAAGCGACACATTTTACATTTATTACAATATCTCTGGTTGTACTATCATGTTGAAGAATATTTCCTTGAACTTGTTTTCCTACAGTTAACAGTGGTGGATATCGTACCTGATTCCATAGCCCTTTTGCAGCAAGCCGTATGGCGGGACGACTACACCTCGAAGGTGGGTAATCCGTTCAGGAAAAGTATTGATGTATATATCTTAATTATAATTATTTCTGGCGTTGAAAATGATAATCTTAAAAGCACAAAGGTTGTGTAAACACTTTTTATTGATTTAACGTATTGTTAGGAGTTGATAGAACATACTGTGTTATAACAAACGAAGTATATAATATATGAAGATTAAGTGCCCTAATTTATTTCGATAATATTGCTGATTGGGACAAGATGTCTCCCGGTGATTGTCTCACGTTCAGACGCTTGAAAAGAGACATAGAAGGGAAATGTGTATTATGAAAGAGACTGAGATACATTTCACGAGAAAGTAGGACGGGATGGTTGATTAACGGATCAAACGTGAAGAAGGTAACTCGTTAGAAAGGGAGACAACCCTAAAGGTAATTTCCCGTATGTAGTATCACACATAGTTCGATACAAGCAGGAAATGATAAAAAGACGTCGAACTAATAACATTGCTTTTTCATAACGATTGCATTAATATCTTCATTTCAGTTATTTGAATTATTTGAATAAATGTAATTGGACTGATTTAAACTTTTAATATTAACTTCGCATTGAAATTAAGAACGCTTATTTGTATGAATTCGTGCCTCCATTTTGTCTTAAAACCGACACACATTCTGGTACTACATATGCTTTTTAATAAGTGCCATAGGTATCTGTAGCTCACCTAATTACAGATTTATTTTTGAGCCGTGAGAACGGCTATAATGAACGACAATATGTTGATTACGAACGCGCGACTGAGCGTGGTTCAAAGGAAGCTGTATTACCCGGAGAAGGATGAATTGACTGGTACGAGAACAAAGAAAGGATATTCTGCAAGAGCAATGCAGCGTTGGGCATTTCAGTTGTGTTCATATAGTATGCCTTGGGTCGATGATTGGCTTGCAACTACCAGAAGCCTGCATCAACGCGACAGAAGTGAGACCCACGCGAGGAAGGGAGATAATCCTAATAAGTTGACAAGCACAAACCGTTTGCAACAAGGTTTATTCTCAATTTGTTTAAAGTACATATTAAATTTTGTTCATAATTACAACATTAATATAACTAATAAAGCATAATATTGGTTGTTAAAATACTTACTTAGATGTTTTAAACTTTTATATTTTATCCTGTATTGTAATTACTGGTGCTTAGGTATGAACATTCTTATTTTTCTATCGTTCTAAAAGCGACCATGTTTGTTGCACTACATATGCTATTAGCATGTGCCAAAGGTATCTGTAGCTCACCTTTTTACAGAAATATTTTTGGGCCGTGAGAACGGCTACACAGGAATTAAAAGATAACGACGATCATTGTGTAAGTTTGTGATTGATTTGCGATAACTAGAGTGAGAACGAAACACAAGATCTAGCCTCTTACCAGGGTAAGTGTGTATACACTTCCGTGATTGCCATATACCGATTGTGACAGTAGTTTGAATGGGATCAGACTGCACTGTTTCCGGAGGAAATTTTCTGTTATGTCAACAAACATTAATTATCTTGGGCTATTTATGTAGATGTGTATCGTTTGCATCATGGTAGAGGTCTTGAAAATGAAAGTCATGAAAATGTTTGTGGATATGTGCTTCAAGAAAAAGATTAATATATTCAGTCTTCAACGTTGTAAATGCGGAAACGTGTCAGTCACTATCCAGTGTTTGTGAACAGTTTGAATAAGATGTGCATGAACTGCAAATTTGCCCGACAACAATTCCTCCTCTGTTCCCTACATTACTCCCAAAACTCAGACTATGCGAGACAACAGTTATTGTCAAGCAACACATGATCTCTCGCTCGCGGGTATATACATATATCAAACGTACATATTACTTGTGTAGAATTATATGACAACCTTAGAGTAGACCCAGTGAAATCATTTCGTCATAGAAGTCATTCAGCATGTATATTTAGGACATAAAGCATACATATTGAGTGGATCAAAGGAAAAATCATTAATGCATTTAAACTTTACTGTAGAGGCAGTATTTCGTTTGCTATCGAGTCTTGCTTCGGTAATAAGCAAGAGCGCCGTGACGCGTCCCCTTACACGCTAACAGGAGCTTCTCCTGCTGTCCTATACAGGTGATAACCACCCCCCCCCCCCCCAAAAAAAAAATAAAATAAATAAATAAAATAAAATAATCATTGATGAATAAATTAGAAATACTAGAAATAATTAATTAGATAAGGTTTCTGACAAAAAAATTCCTTTTTTATTGTATTTTACTTTGGCGAAGTTTCAGTTTCGGGTTGTCGTTTTTTTCATCTTTCCTCCCACACTAACTCCTATATGGTAGAGGTACATTGTGGCAACGTGAAGATGTACGACATGTATTTATTGGTCAAGACTGACATTTATTACGCTGCTAACATTAACCCTCATGGTGTGTAAATCTTACAATGGTTATTGACGCCTCGTCTTTTTGAGAGGGTTATCCGAAAATTAGGTGTAAAATAATATTTTCCGCAAATTCCAAAATAGCAAAAACAATTAGACCCTCATACAGAATAATTTATAGATCCATTTTTAAAAAAATCCCAAACTTGTGTTATTGTATCTGTGGGACTTCCACTAAATACAGCTAGCCTGTGGGTCTCATTGTTTACTGGTTCGTGTCAATTTGACCCGATCCGAAAGTCCCGACGCCAACTTTTGTCCCATCATGCAACACTGCCCATGTGAAACTGGACAAGATGGCGGCCAAGTTTAAAGTTGGAGATCTTGTGTGGTAAGTTTTGTCGAATTTTCGAAATACGATCTGGGAATCGCTTGTCATTTTATTTGCATATCGGAATATTTATGTTTCCCGTGATTTCGTTTCAGGGCAAAGATGAAGGGGTTCCCGGCTTGGCCAGGAAGGGTGAGTTTACGGTCACACCGGCAGCGGTTTGGGGCTTCGCTTGCAAGCGCATTGTGTGTCAAACACCTTTCACCGGAATACGCATATTTACCTTCTGATCAGCGTGTAGACTCATACCTTTTTATTGTCTAGGGTAATAGGGGCCATTTTTCATTACTGCATTAACAACATAATGTATATTTACCTCCAGAACCAGCAAAAACGATACGAAAATATTTTGACTTACACAGTTATCTCCCCTTAACCGACACACCAAGCACCTGCCCACAACCTGATCTCTAATGGGTTTCACTGTCACATTGAGATCTTCGTTTCTTTTGGTTTTTTGGGCAATTTAATTTATTTACTTCATGTAAAACTTCAATTATATTTTCCATTATTTTGAGAATAGTTTTCATTCACGTTTACATTACAAAAGACATTCTTCTATATTACGGTCAGTATCATTTGTGTGTAATTGTAACTGATGTAGGTTATTTGTCACACAAATACAATCAACCTAAATTGTATAACTTTTGCTACCATTGTTTTTAAAGGATGTAGTTACATTATTATTTTTCATTTAGAAATTACAGACATCTATCAGATCTGATGAAGATATAATTCTCATTTATTAACGTATGTGATTCTTTAATTCAAACTTAGTTTTGGGTCAGTCTGCAATTTTAGACTGGAGGTTATGGGTAAGCTTATGATGAAAATGTTGGTTTACCATGCTGAAGATCTAAGTGTAATGTGTGAATGCCATTCTTGTTGTCCCTCGTTTTTATGTTTCTGGAATAATAATAATGATAAAACAAGCATTTAAAACTGAACAAGGCCAACAAAAGTAATTTCATGTACGGCCGAATGCATATTCTTGTTTCTCTCAAGTTATGGAAATCACATACTTAAAAACATACACACAAGCTCTGAGGGAAGGGGAGTTTTTAGAAGAGATGTTTATGGTGTGACTTGTTCAATTGACAGACTGATTCTAGAAATCATTCAAAGAATGTAATTGTGTAAACCAAAAATACTCAGGAACAAGTGCCCATCTCCTTATATGTGATAATTAAAACAAACAATTAACTGGAAATATCTCAAGCAACCACCATTATGACAGAATATATAGAAAATAGCCACAGACCTTGTCACATGTATCACCTGCTCCTTGGAAGAAAATTGATCAGTTCTTGTTTTATGTAAGTGAGTGGTTGACATTCATAATGTTGATGCCCGGGTTAGAATTGATCTTTGGTAACCCGGACTTGTTGTTAGAGGCGACTAACGAGATCGGGTGGTCAGGCTTGCTGACTTGGTTGACACATGTCATTGTATTCCAATTGCATAGATCAATGCTCATGCTGTTGATCACTGGATTATCTGGTCCAGGCTGGATTATTTACAGACTGTCGCCAAATAGCTGTAATATTGCTGAGTGCGGTGTAAAGCTAAATTCAGTCAATCAATCATAACATTGCAGAAATGTAACACTCAGGTAATAAGATGCTAGACCTGCTGGGACATCATTCTGAAGAATTGTGCAATGTGAAAATAAGAACAAATTGTAATTGAGTATCATGTATTTATTGGTTTTGTTGTAACTACAGTTGATCTTCAAATGTTTTACTGGGGTAATTTCTTTTGAAGGGTTGGGTGAATTTTCAAAGAATAGGTTTGTCACATTGATCTTGAAACTGTATGCTGTTTTGACATTTAGAGACAGGATAATATGTTGATTTTTAAATTTGTTTTCATTAGAAGGAATGATAATGACATGTTTAATGAACACTTTGTATTGTTTACTATAGTTTGTCCTTGTTTCCTGCCCCAGAATTATAGATGTTCATGGATTTCAACTGTTTCAGTACCCCTATAGTTACATGTCTTTACTGGTTAAATCAAAGCTTGTTCCAATGTTACAGTAGTTATCACTGCGGAGATAAGTTTCTTATGTTCAAATGGGTCAGATCCTACATAATGAGACATGTTCTATATGTTGTTTGTGTAAGAAGTTATCCTTCGCACAAAATTATCCATCAACTGATGGAGCCCATTTCATGAGAATTGTCAATGCTGTCCTTGTATGACATGTTGTGAGACAAGAAACTGACTTGCAGTAGTGTTTAACTTAGTTGTGAACATATCGGAAAACTATCAACACTTATTGTAATTGTTAGATATCATTTGAGACCCAACTGAAGACCCACTATGCAAGTATTGTAATAATGATCTATGTCTGTTTGTTTATGAAAACTAATCCTATATTGCAGCTGAAAACCCCATTCAAACATATTTCCTCCATGGTATATGTTTTTCAGGTAATCCAGCCCAAGGATGAAGTGAAGCGTCCATCCAACAAGAAGCCTCATCATTTTGTCTTCTTCTTTGGGTCTGAGAACTAGTATGTATTCAGCTGTGTATTTCTTGCTAATGTTTCTGATTTGGATTGTTTCTGGTTATGCTGCTCTTTCATCAGCTAACAACAAAATATGACAACATTTATCATTCAGATGAGGCTGCATTCATAGTTGGAATGTCATCCAAACATAAATATCTAGTGTCTTTAGAGTTAAACCAGGATTTGTGAAGATAGTATTTGCATGTGTAATTTCGACAGTACTGGGTACAACTTTAGAAGTCAACCTTGGCACCAGACATGAACCCCTTGTCAAAGTGGTGTTTGTTGTCAACCTAGGCACCTGACGAGAACAACTTGCAGGGGTGGAAATAACCTATTGTCCAACATCCCAGTCCAGAGTTTTTTTCTGTCGGGCAAGCAAATTTGTGTATTGTGCTGTACCAGTGTCCAGTTGACTTTCCAATGTTAATTATGTTATTTACAAAATCAACAAGAAAATATGTTTTCTTTTGTTTATCGTCCGGTTCGCATTCGTTTTGGTCAGAAAATAATTCAGAGTTACCTTTCTTAGTTCCTAGTGCATGCTCAAATCTTTTTCATACAAGCTCCTAACACCGATGTCATTGTCCATGTTTGGGATTTTATAACATTGACATGCACTGTTGTGAGTTTGTTAGATATTTTTAATTTAAGCTCCGTGCATCGACTTTGCTATGCATATTGGCGATCTCAGTAAATTTACATGGGCTGTTGTGAGTTTGTTTGAATTCTTGGCAAACAATTTGCTTTAACAATTACGTCTGCTTCAATATTGGGATGTCAAAACAATGCTCGCTTGATGGATCTGGTTTTAATAGCGCCGCACCCACTAAAAATAAAAAATAAAATGAAGTAAATATAAAGAAAAACAAACTGTATGATAATGAAAAGAGGGAACATAAATTTCGAGCAATGTGGGCCGACACGTATCTATGGGTCAGGTACAATGAAGAGAAAGATGTCGTGACATTTCATCGGGAAAGCGAAATACATTTCTGGAAGGCACTTCTCACTTTAGGATTGATTATATCATATTATAAGTCATATAGTGCATCTGATGTACATCGAGAATGTGAAATTTTTGACAAACACATCGTAAAATCCCAACGAAAGTGGGGCATCAGGTGACCCAACTAGCAGTGGTAGTAGCAGAGAGGTCAATGCATCTAGTGGTCAGTCTGTGGCATGTCCTATACTCAAGGCATTCAAAATCTGGGATAAAACTGTCTATGGAAAAACTTTTCATTACAGCATTTCACATAGCTAGACAAGGGAAACCTCTCAGTGATTTTGAACTTACCCTTGATTTACCTGAATGTTTACTTGAATGTTGACATTGGCAATTCATACAGGAATCGTGCTGGTGCCAGAGAATTTGTAAAATCAGATGTTGAATAACCTAAGAATGTATCACCATGTTTAAAGAAGCTGTACAGTAGTATATACAATGGGGGTTCTGGATCACTTTCAACCAAAGCCTCTGCAAAGCCTTATTTCACAAGTAAGGCTTTGGTCGGGCCCTTAGCTCTTGCTACCATTACCCCTACTATGAAAAAGTTTGGGACGATAGCGGTTCTGGATCACTTTCAACCAAAGCCTCTGCAAAGCCTTATTTCACAAGTAAGGCTTTGGTCGGGCCCTTAGCTCTTGCTACCATTACCCCTACTACAAAAGTTGGGGGATGCGAACGCACCTCCTAGCCGCGCTACCGGGGGTATGGCTGGAGTAATGGGACACCGCTATGCTGGAGGTAACACTGTACCGTACGGTACGATCAATAATTCTTCTCTCACAAACCCCCTACCTGGCCCATCCCTCAAGTAGTACAAGTTTGGCTCGTCTGCTTTGATGTCCACTTTATCTATGTTGTAAGTTTTGACTGACCATATAGGATCGGTGGCTCGCCTACGGCTATCACCCTCGTGTTCCCCCGGCTGGTATAGATACCTCACTAGGGCCCTATCTGGTATCTGTTTCTCCTTCCCACGCAATGGAGCAGCCCGGCTCTGCAACTATTGATTTTAGTTTGATAGCTGCGTCTGCGGTTTCTTATCAGTGAGCGGGTGACTTCATGGTTGATTGCCGACACCACCTTGGGTAACCTCGCGACCCATTCAGTCGATCGTTTTCCCGGGTTGCCATCTCCCTCGCATACTGATGTCGAATAAAGCTCTGCCAAAGTCCTATTAAATCTCTCAACTATGGCTTGGCTGCGATGGGCTCCAGCCGTGCCACGCCTGACCTTTGTATCGTGTTTGGCTAGCAGTTGTGACATCGTCACCCATGAACTCCCGTCGAGGTCAACTTGCAGCTCTGTTGGCCACGTCAGCGGACTGCGTTTGTATATCGTTCAATCCTCTGGCTACCTGGACCGAATCTTTCGCGGTCAAGGGTTCGGCTTCCTTGTAGCGACTGGCTACGTCCACTACGGTTAAGGCATACTTGTACCTCTTGTCGGTAGGGTAGGAACAGTAGGTCTGCCTGGTGAGCGCTATTAGGTATGTTAATACCGAACCTCCTTCTAGGCACGTGGCGTGGTGCGGTAAATAGATCTGCCACAGGGCTTGTTTTTCAAGCCACGCTTTGGCCTCCTCGAGGGTACTTTCGCCATTTTAGCTAGCTTATCTACAGCACTAGCTCCTTTCCAGTACCCACGCGGGCTGTAGTAAATAGCCTCAAACTTTCTCTGGTTTTAAGTGACATGTTCAATTTTCTCATGCCCATACGCCGCGTGCGTGTTTATCCCATCAATAGCTATCCAACGTTTAGTGTCCATAGGCGACAGGGGCGTCTTGTTTATAGTCAGTCCGTATATCTTATGCCCATCACTTCTAAGTGTGTTCATTTTATGCCTAAAGGTACGGGTCTTGAACAGGGCTTCCTTGAATCTGGCGTGTTTGATGTGTTGTTTCACCACATACTTCTTAACACCCTTAGCCTTCCGGTTTCACCATTGTCGGCCTTCAGTATGGAGTACATCTTAGGCCTCAACCCTATGTACTTTCGGCTATGGGCGTGCCAGCACACTCGTCCTTTCATCTTACCTAGGACCTTTTTATTTACCGTGCTGTGTATGGCATGGCCCTTAGGGTAGTCGCTGGTGTCATACAAATCGAGGTGTTTTTCATGTCAGCGCATTACCGTCCTCGGTTCGAATCTCCATCAGCAGGGAATCCGTGTCAGTGTACAGAACTTCACACCTGTCGTCGTACTGTTTCTTGAGCTCGTTGTAGTAAAAGTCGTTACATCAGGTGTTTGGATAAATCGAGGATGCTCATCCCCACGTAAACAGGCGGTTGAATTTTATGTGGCTTTTTCTTTCATGTGTAGGGCAACTAGGTCATCGGTGAATATTTTGCTTTCACGGTTGAATGCGGACTGGCTATCAGTCTCCTGAGCTTGTCTTCCTCATTCGACCGAACCAGCTTCACGGTCAGCGCGTTTCCTCAGGTTCTCCATAGTCTTACCAAACACCGAGTTGTTCATGAGCTTATAGAGATTTTTCTCAAAGTCACTGGTGGCAAGCTTTTCGGAGGTCTGTGTTCATTCTGATGTAAGGCTCCATCCAGGGGCTCTGGGTGAACACGAGCACCCTGTGTATTTTGGTCAGCCTCATACCCAACGACAGGTACAGCTGTAGGTTGCGATAGTGAACGATGTACTTGGTCTTATTCATTAAGTTGGGCACGAGTTTTTCAACGTCTGTCACACGCCCACCTAACAAGTTATGTTGGTACTCAGACATCCAGTCTGGGTTAACCCTCATAATTAGGAGCCAGGGGTAGCTGTTGTGTGATGTGTGTAATGCCTTGGGGTATTCCAAGTCAACCTCGAGGATATAACCTTTATTCAATCTGGTGCGATGCTCATAACATCGACCTCCTGTGACACCCATTCGAACCCCTGTGGGTAGATACTGGCTCATGGCCCAGCCATACAGGTTGTTGGCGTCGAGGTAGAGAATGTGATTGGTTGGCTTGCTAGGGTCGTAGCCCTTAACGTTATTGATTATTTGCTTTCGGCGTATCGGCTTGGTTGCCATGGAGATCCCACCTGCATAAGCCTTTCTCAATGAATAGGTGCATGTCATAATCTGTAAGCAATTCCAACTTAACTCCGGTCTTTTTAAGCAAGGCATCCCACGACAGACCTGGGCTGGTGTAATACCATCGGGGTCGAGTTTATACTGCTTGAAACACGTCCGCCTAAACGTCTCAAACACGTCGGCTAACAGCAGTACATCTGTCCTCAAGTACAGGTCATGATAATCCCCAGGTTCTTACAACCCAGTTTATTCCATATATTAATAGCATGTGAGTAATCATCTTGGGATATTTCGAGTCTGTCAGATTGCTGTAAAATTCTCTGATGGGGTAGTCTGGTCTCAGCGAACTTGGGCCAACTATCCATGTATTCATAGGGGTACACACCCTTCCTCATAAGCAGGGGTCTAGTCTCCGGCGCCTGTGTATCGGTCGGTGATAGGGAAGGTATCGTTGGCCTTGACCAGACTGTCTAATGAAGACAATAGAAATTGTACTGAATCTATGAACCTAAGGCCGTTTAAGCTGAAGGAGATGTATCTCTCCATGTTGTTGGGGATGCACGTTATATTACCATCGATTTTAGCGATGGCCTGCATGATTAAGTGAGAGTCGTACCCTCTCAAGTTGTGAAAGACCACGGGGATGTTTATTGTCTTAGGGATGATTCTAAGCTTGAGGTTACACGCAGCGCTGTGGCGCCTCTATACTTACGGTTACGTGGCAGTGATCTCTCACCGAATCACCATTCAGTGGTGAGTCACACACGTGACAGTTAGTGCTACAGGCGTGAGCTAGCCTGTCGGGCTTGGTCATACGCATGGGGCGACTCTATACAGTGCGTTCCTAATAATTTTTCTTCCTCCTGCAAACACTTTAGAAACCTTTCAGCCGTCAGGGCCCCTATACACTACTGGGAGCTTTTCGTTTCCCCATCATCAACGGACGACAATGTATCCA